TCCCTCCAGCCCAGAGCTCTGGAGCGGTATGTACTCAACAGCTGAGTGATGCATGCAGCCCAGAGCTCTGGAGCAGTATGTACTCAACAGCTGAGTCATCCCTCCAGCCCAGAGCTCTGGAGATTCTTCAGCACATCTACATGTATCTGTTCACTCTCCGGTGTTACTCCTGGAGAGGCTCCAAGCTAGAACTTCTCTTAGGAGGGAGGTGCAGTCAGGTAAGGCTCATGAATAGCTCATGAACTAGCCTTCCAGAGGCCTAGCTCTGGACCTTTAAGATACGTGACTGATGAAAAACTGGGAAGCCTCAGAAGTACACTGAGAGGCATGGACTCCAAACGTTATTGAAACATTTTTGAGACACATTTAGGTGGTCTTGTTAGATACTGGGCATTATTTAAATGCACTGTCTTAACTGATTTGAAAGACGGTGAAAGAAGGAAACATGAACCTTTTCATACACAATTGCACGTGTGCATGTGTAGTCCAGAGGCTGAGGTTGAATGTCTTGCCTAATCACTCTCCACCTTATGTTTTGAGCCAGTGTCTCTCCTTGAACCTGGAAATTGAGGATTCACCTAGCTGGCTGGTCCGCGAGCCCCAGGGATCGTCCTGTCTCTGCCTCCCAGTGCATCCCCACATGCCTGGCCTTTTCCACATGGGCTTTAGGAGACTGAACCCAGGTCCTCACGCTTGGGTCGCAGGCACTCTACACACTGAGTCGTCTCCTCAGCGTCTCCTGGTGTGTTCACTTCTAACATGCAGGTTGTTTCACTTGCAGGCTCCTAGCCTCAAATCTTTTCCAGGAGGGAAGAGGCAAAATGTCTTGATATTTTTCACTAAGACAGATAGATGGAAGTAGGGCAAGGACAACAGTCATGTGCCCACCAAGAGAGGGCTCAGGGGTCTTTGGAAAAGGTGTAAACATGAGGCAGGCGCAATAGGAAGTGAAATTGCTTGAAGAACATACAAGTCCGCTTTCTTACGTACGTGACTTTTGTCCTCCCACATGTTCTCCACAGCCAGGAGGGTGCTCTAGAACGATAGTTACCTTCAAGCTCAAGTCAAGGTGGTTCTCAGTGACTTCTGGAGGACTGAGCAGGGAGCAATCCAGCACGGTGTAGTTGTCAATCTTGGTTAAAACTAGATGACCAAGAAAGAAAATCTGTGTTCATTAAAAGTTTAATCTACACATAGTATTTGGAACACCATTTTCCCCTTTTCATAAGAAACATGTTTACATTTGAAAACTCAGGAAGAGGAAAAAGAAAAAGGCAAATATTTTTCTCAACTATCAGAGAAACATTAGTAACATTTTGGCAAGCATTTTTATGCATGTGTCCATAAAACACACACACAATGCATGTGTGATCTTTTTTTTTTTTAGTTTTAAAACTTGGTTATTATTGTACATGTGTGTGTCACGTGTGTGACTGTGGGTGCACACATATTACAGTACACGTGTGGAGCTCAGAGAACAACTTTCGGAACTGGTTCTCTCTGGCCACCTTTATATGGGTTTGGGGATTGAACTCAGGCTGTGAGGCTTGTGTGGGAAGCACCTTTCCCACTTCGCCCCCTCAGTGGCTCATGGGGTTCTATTTAAAAATTTTACATTAATTGATTGATCAATCAATCTAGTCATTTATTTGTTATTTATTTATTGCGTGCATACAAATGTGTGGATGTCAGAGGACAAGTTGTATGAGTTGATTCTCCTTCCATCATGTGGGTCCCAAGGATTGAACTCAGGCTGTCGGGGGGTGGTGGGCAACTACCCCCCTTGAGTCATCTCACAGGCCCAGTGCTTCTATTTTTAAGAAGAAATTAACAGGCTGAAGGCAGACCCGTTTCTTTCCCTTTGTTCCCTCAGATCCAATCACCCCAGTCTTATCCCTAGCCCTGCAGCAGGACACCTGCTGTGGTCTCCCTTTCCTGTCTAACCCCATCCCCAAGGGATCATCACAGAGATCTCTCCACCTCCCACTTTTCCTTTCCCCAGCTCCTCCCAGCCTCCAACACCAGCAGGCGTTCACTGGGAACACACCTACTGCGCCGCAGGCCGTGGAAGCAGGACCCGCACTGCCTCCTCCTTCCCCACCAATCCAGTCCTCCCAGTTCATCCCTAGCGCTGCAGCAGAACCCCAGCCCTCCCTGCCCCCTCCTCACATCTCCACCTACATTTGGCAGATTGCACTGTGAAAGCCCGGACTGTGTTAATAAAAGCAGCCCTGGGTCAGGAGGCAGAGCCAGCAACCACTTGACAGGAAGTAGCCAAATGTAATCCATCAATGTAACAGGTCTTTCTTTGGACTGCCAGCTCCCAAACAATGCTACAGAGACTTCTTATTAAGTATGAAAGCTTGACCTTAGCTTAGGCTTGTTCCCAACTAGTTCTTAAAACTTAAAAGAACATGTTTATATTAGTCTACATTCTGTCATGTGGCTCGTTACCTCTCCTCAGTACAGTTCATCCAACTTCTGCATCTGGTTGGTGAATTTCTGCCTTTCTGATTCTTCCCCCAGTTCCTCTCTCTCCTCAGAAGTCCTGCCTATCATCTCCTGCCTAGCTCCTGGCCATTCAGTTCTTTATTAATCCAATCAAAAGGTGACTTAGGCAGGTGAGGTAAAACAGAGACATCTTCACACACTGTGATCAAATATCCCAAAACAGGACTGGGTTACATTCAATTGAGTTGTTGGCCAAGGGTGTCCCATAGAAATCCCCCAAACAACCCAGGCTATTTCCAAGATAATGGTGGATTGTTTTCTGAGAACTGACAGCCTGGTCCCATTGCCAAGAACAACACTCAGACAACTCATTGAACATGGAGAAATTGAGCTGATGTCTACATGGATCCTTTACCTCTACATTCTAGTTATGGTGTTTTAAGGTATTCTGCACACTACCAAAAGAGAAACATAAACACCAACTCAGCCACTAAATCATTGATCTACAATTTGTCCTGCTTTCAAAATATGCTAGCACAATGGTGGCATAGAAATTACAGGAGTAACCAACCAATGTCTGATTTGACTTACAGTCCACTCAAGGAGTTGAAACCCATACCTGACATTGTTTGAGTAAACAAGAACAAGAAACTAGATAGCCAAGAGACCTAGGGTAAAATCAAATACTAGTGGTCTAAAAAAATTGCATCAATAAAATGACTCCTAATGATATTCTGCTATACTCATAGATCAGGGCCTTATCCAGTCATCATCAGAGAAGCTTTCTCTGGCAGAAGATGGGAACAGATGCAGAGATCCACAGTCAGACATTATATAGAGAAAGAGTCTAAATGGGATGTCTCCATCAGGGAGCCCTGTAGAAGAGAAGGCGCAAAGAGTGTAAGAGCCAGAGGGAATCAGGAGAACAAGGCACTCTGAATCAACTAAGCCAGGTGTATATGAGCTCACAGAGACAGAAGCAGAAGCACAGGGCCTACATGGGTCTGCACCAGGTTCTCTGGGTATATACTATAGCTTTCAGCTTAGTATTTTTATGGGTCTCCTGAATGTGAGAAAGAGTGTGGGTCTTTGACTCTTGTGCCTGCTCTTCGGACTCTTTTCCTTCTGTTGGGTTTACTTGTCCAACTTCAATAGGATGGCTTTTGCTTCACTTTATTATATTTTGTCATGTTTTGTTGTTATCTCTTAGAAGCCTGTTCCTTACTAATGAGAGACAGAAAGGGGGTAGATCCAGAGGGGATGGGAAGTGGGGTGGAACTGGGAGGAGTAGAAAGAGGAGAAATTATAGTCAGGATATAATATATGAGAAAACAATCTATTTCCAGTAAAGGGAAAAATGAAATAAAGAAGAAATTAACACAAAGATCCTTATCAATATTAAATCATACTATCAGATTGAGAGGCTTCCAACTTCAATATTAGAGATTCTATGTAGTTAGAATTTCACTTTCTATAGAGACAATAAGCATGCATCACTATTGTGGTAGAAAAAGTTTGTTTCTCTTGTAGCCCAGGCTAGCCTGGGACTCCTGTGTAGCCCAGACAGGCCCCAGATTCATAACCCTCCTTCATCAGCCCCCTGAGTGTTAGGATAGAATTTATTTAAAAGGAAATGTTATGAGAAAGGAGACGCTCATTGAGTTAGAGAGGCCATGGAAATTCTTACACATGGTGCTATTAATTGAATGAAATTTTTGTGTTTGCCTCTTCAGAACAAAGCCAAAGGCAAAAGGGAGGTGTAACAACATTGAGCAGGGTCCCTGGGAGGAAAGATTTCCATGCCCAAGATGATGCCAGTGAACACTTAGGCTCTGACTTGGCTTGGGAGAGCTGTTTTGCTGGCTACTCTGTACTCTGGAGACTTCTTCCAGGTTCTAGAGGAAGGTACCCAACGATCAACTGAATATCATGGAAGGTATTCTTCTTTCCTGTCATTGTCATAGATGGGGATGAGAAGCAGGAGCAGGTGAAGTGGCTTGCTGAGTTAGTAAGAACATAGTGTCATCCTACATCACTATGCCTTTACATTTTAAAAATGTATTCTTGGGTATATGAGAGTCTGCTTGTTTATATGTGCACCACAGGTGTGCAGGTGCACATGGTGGCCAGAAGAGGGCGTCAGAACTCCAAGAACCAACAAGATGTAGATACTGAGAACTAAACCTAGTCCTCTGCAAGAGCAACCAGTGCTCTTAGTCCCTGTGCCATGTCTCCAGCCCTCACTATAGCTTTTGAAATGTCCTTAAAGTGTCCAGTCTAACTAGATCCCATCATCCTCTGTGAGGGGATCGGGACAGGGATTCCTTACAGTGAAGGCAGGGAGGCTTGGCGAAGAAGACACTAGCTCAAGGTGCACAGCACAGGGGCTCATCCTCTGCGTCCTTCCTTCCGATCTGCTCACTTCCTTTCTCTCTGTATCCACACATCCATCCTCTGTCCCACTGTCTTTTTCCTTTTATCCCTTCATCAATTCAGTATTTATTGGCCTGTCAGCCAGGCTCTGTACCTGATGTTAGAGCAAAGCTCCTGACCCCAGGAATCTCAGAGTCCAGAGGAGGAGGGGACAGACACATGGGCAGGAAATCACAATCAGGTAGAGTAAGAACTCCCCTGAAACTGATCCGGCTGGCTCTGGGTGAAAACCTGAGGTCCCTCCTGAATACTTCCATAACCCACATTTGACCTGCTGGCAATCACTGCTGTCTACCTGCAAGGTACGTGTAGAATATAGGAACATGTCTTCCCTCTCTGTCACTCCGCCTGAGGCTAGCTGCGGTCCTTGCTTGTATGGGCCATTGTTCTACTCTGTTAAATGGTCTTTCTGCTGCCGCCTCCCTCCTCCTTCCCCGCTATTATTATCTTGAACACCAGAGTAACTGTCTCAGACTAAGAGATAGACTTCACAGTGTTCCAGATCCCTGACAAGTCTAGCCACCCCTCCCCACCTGCAAACTCAGCTCTCCACTCCCCTCAACCACGCCCTCCCTCTAGTCCTAGCATGGTCTTATAGTCCCTCTAACACACTCAGCTCATGCCTGCCTCAGGGCCTCTGAACATGTGATCTGTTGTACCCGACTGTTCTGCATGCATGCTATGGTTTGAATGTCCTTCTAAAACTCACACTTAAATTTAATTACCAATATAATGGGTATTGGCGAGTGGGCCATGGCCCAGTTACTTTGATAGGTAACTGGGCCATGGGGCAATGCCCACTGGAATAGTCCGCAACTCTCAGAGTGGGTTGGTTACAAGTTTGGCTTGATTTCTTCTCTGTCTGGTGTACACTCACTCGCCCTTCTGCCATGTTGTGACTCATCGTGGAAACCCTCACCAGATGTAACTCCTTGACCTTGAACTTTTCAGCTTCAAGACCATCAGACAAGCACCTTTCTGTTGTTTATAATTCATCCATCTTCTGGTATTCTATCACAGCCACAGAAACAGACCAAGACAATCCAGGTTGGGAGTAGCCCATCCCCAGTCCCTTCAGCTCAGTGGTGCCTTTCCTAGTCACCCTGTGTGAAACAGAAACTCTTCTTCAGCCCCTCCCTTGTTTCTTCTTATCAGTCACAATTTCCCAAATGCAGGTTTCACCTGCTCGTTTACTGCTCCCTTCTTGTAGTCCCAAGAAGGTGGGAGTCTGTCTCCTAGGCTTTGTGCATCTCCAGCACCAGGGCCCAGGTGATTCTAAGTGCTCTGCACACCATCAGCAAGCAGATGGAAGGGATGCAAAGAGAGATGAAGGGATGCAAAGAGAGCCGTGGAAAGTATCATGCAAGAAGAGGTGCCGCTGTGAGGTGTGGACGAGAGGGTCTCATAAGCCGAGTCTCTAACAAAAAGAGAAATGAAAAGGACAGGAGAAGATGGGAGATAGAAAGTCTGTGGGGACCAGCAAAGTCCTGGTGTAGAAATGGTTGCTCAGTAGAGGTCTGTTAAAGGAATGAGTGAAAGGAGAGTGGGGCTCTTCTCTAGAGTGGGCAGTGTGCGCAAAGCCAAGGAGTGAGAAGGGAAATAGAGGCAGCTTGACTGCTTGAGGAGGAAAGGTAAGAGAGAGGTGGAGACGGAATGAGTCCTCCTGTGTGGGCTTGCTTCATACTGAAGGCAGCGCCTGAAGGGGTTAGAGAAGGTGAGGCAGATAACCTGGTCAAGACGATAGATTTAGTGCCAAAGCTTGGATTAGAGCCAGGGAGGGTTTTTCTGCCCACTTATCCCTGAGAACCATCTTCTGCCACAGTAACAAAGTTGGTTGGTAGCCAAGGAATACATGTGCTATGCATAGGGCTTGTCCTATACGGCGTCCTGGGATTTTAATTTTTAGGCAGAAGAAAAGCAGAGTGACGAAAAAAAGACCTGGGTAAGGTTTGAAGCTGGGTAGAGAACTATCCAGAAGGCAGTTCCAAGACTCACCCTCCAGTGCGCTGATGTTGGCATTGAACGCCTCCACTTGATCGATGGCAATGGGACAGAGCTGGACCAAAAAAAATTTTGAAAAATTGTTACCATATTGAAAAAGCCTTCTGCTTAGGAGACAGTATCCCTGCGGCCCTGACGATGCTCCTTTAAGTTAGCTGGTGCTCTTGGCCTTCAGCCTTCGCAGATATGGGCAGTGTGTCATTCATTGAGTGCTGGCTGAGCTTCATAGCAACTGAAACCACACCCAACTAGCCCCATGAAAGAGCTTGGCTTTTCTCTTGGGACGTGCCAAGGCATGTGCTCTGTCCGTGGTGTTGGTGTCACACCTGAGGAACCTGCTGTGAAAGCAGCTGTGTCTTTCCTGCCTGGGTGCTACCAACTCCTATTGCATCAGCAGCTCTAGGTCCTCCCCGGAGTGGCTTCAGTTGGAACCTTCACTTTCGCTGGGCTAATTGGAGAGACCATGAGAGGAACCTTCACTTTCACCGGGCTAATTGAAGAGACCATGAGACTAGAGATCCACTTAGAACTCTGTTGCCCCCTCTCCCTCTCCTTTCCTTGAGACATGGTCTCATGTGGCCCATGTTGACATTTGGATTTTTTTTTATGTAGTCTAAGATGACCTTGAACTTATCATACTTCTGCCTCCTCCACCTTCCAGGAGCTGTGATTACAAGTATCCCTCAGCACATCTAGTTTACGAGATACTATAGATCAAGCCCAGGACTTCATGCATGCTAGGCAAGCTCTTTACCACCTGAGAGACATTTCCTGTCCTGTTTCTACCTTTCTGAAGGGGGTGGATGCCAGCACAGTGGATTGAGGAGAGAAACTACTAAGTTACAAGCACTGATGTGTCAGCTACATGCTCACCGATGCTCACGCAGCGTGGTGGTTTTAGCAGAGGCCAGGCAGCTAGGCCCCTGGAGTGGAAACCACTGGCAATTTACTTTCACTGTGTGACATCTGTCTCATCATCTGCAGGCAGGGGTGATTATTCCATCTACCTCATCAAGTTGTGAGGAGAAAATGAAATAAGTCTGTAGACTTCTGCTTAGCTCAGACTCTGTATAATCTTGTATATGTACAAGATCACATGTAGCCCGGGCTAGCTTCAAACTTGCTATGTAGCTGTAAATAGCCTTGAACTTCTGATCCACACCCCCATCTCTGCCTCCTAAGAGCATTGTTAGTGTGTTTCTTGGAAATTCCCGTCATCACCTGCTCATTCCTCACCTGCCCACATCTTACCTCTATTTCAAGCCTCAGTTCCCTAAATAAACATGTCTCCTAGGAGATTTTCCAGTTCTCTAAAGTCTGTCAGCTCAGTTTCATCATCATGTGACCATGTTATTCAAGCTCTGGTTCAGTGTCACAAGTCTGAGGTTTTTCTTTTCTTTTTTTTTTTTTTTCTCATTTAACTAATATTTGCCTCTTTTGTTCTCAGTAGTCCCCACTCTAGCTGCGTCTGCATTAAGAACAAAATGCTTGTCCATTCTGTGGTGGGAAACTCGAGAAAAAGTATGTAGTTTTGTTCATCTGTGTCTCCTGCCACAATGCTTAAACCATGAGAAACTATTACATTGCATAGAATAGTATGAATTAAAGTGTCTTGCATGGTGCTTAGCATACAGTTGGTGCTCAATAAATGTTTATGATAAAAATTATTAAAGTATGATAGGCCGGCTGATACCCTTTGACAGAGGTTGTCTAACTTCTGAAGACTCACCATTTCATTTAAATTCCTCAAAATGGGTTTCTCCATGGGCTCGGCAAAGGAGTTATACAGGACACTAGGAAAAATGAAAAGGAGAGCTTACCAGGGACCACGAGACACCAGTGGGAAACTTCTCCGAGGGGCAGCCCGAGGCTCCACCAGGCTGCTGTCACTCACCTGAGGCCTCCAGAAAATGAGACGCGGGCATGGCTCACTTGGGCATGACAGTCTTGGAGTTCCAGGGCTGGGTGGCCAAAGTTATTACGGGTGAGGACAACAATGCCAGTAAAGTAGATTCCAGAGAGAAATAGATCAGCAGCTCCTGAATCTTGGCTGTTCGGAGAGAAAGAGAAAGGTTACCGAGTCTGAGCCACACATGGAGATGGGTCTTCTAAGATCTCTGGGGACAGGGACTTGGCCATGCTCATATCAGAGTTACCGACACCTACAGCGGACTCAGGAGCACTGCTACTGACCAGATGAAGTGGTGAGTGTGTAAATGCACAGCTGGGGGACACTGCTTACTGACCAAATGAAGTGGTGAGTGTGTAAATGCACAG